TTAAAAGGCCGGCAACGCACATGTAATTCCCCTGGTATTGCAGTTGTTCATGGGCGGCGGTAATCACTTACCATCAGGCGAGTCGTATGCTCGTTTGCCCCTGGGGAGCCCCAGCCCAGAGATGGGAATAGTATTCCATGTGCGGTCGAACCTGCACCTAATTTAAAAAAATAATCTAGGACACATGTCTTATGTTTGGAATTCACTGTAGGCGGATTTCACATGAAATCCGCCTACAGTGAATTCCAAAATCCTTTTAAAGTAGAAGCCTGTATGACGAATTTAATGTAATACTCATGTAGTTTATACCTTACTTGTGCATTATTAAAAATGTTTATTTCATATCTGATATGAGAGAACTTATGTTCCCAGCACACAATGTTCAGTTCATGTTCAGCCTATAAAAGTTCAGTGCTGAACATAGGAATCCCCCATAGATTGCCTCATAGGAAGGATTTTGCCATGGTCGGAACGCTTGGCAACCGCAGTTTTTATTATGTTGAGTTATAACTCTTCAGGAATATGCTTCTGCCCATCATCCGCTTTAATTTCCCTCTGTAGCCTCTTAGGACACGCAAGGGACAATATGGAATAGTGAATATTCTTGCATCCTACATGGCTTTTTTCTGATATACCTACCCATATGGTTGTGTGAAGTGGCGTCAGGCTAAGGTGACGTGCCGTGTGGTGGGGGCGTAATAGAATTCATCACGTTACCTCAATCCGTTGGTGTCGTGTCAACTACCAGAACTATCGGATAGATCATATAGCTTCTAATAGATTACAGGATTATAGTAAAACTTTCTCGATGTCAGCTTTAAAATACCCAAAACTTACTGCGGAGACGCTTTTGTCTCGCAGTGGACTAGAATAGAATAGAATGATTTTTATTCAATAGGTATTGATTATTACATAATACTCGTACTTATTGAAGGTCATTTCTTATTTAGCACTACTGTTTACATCGTGATAAAGGGATATTTTAGAAAATACTTAAATTGCTTAGATGTTTTTTTTTAAGAATAAGAGTGATAAACAACCACATAGTCTACTTGATCGTGAGTGGATGTTGTATGGTATAATAAATACAGGATAATAAATGTAAATAAATAAATAATGTAATAAATGTAGTTGTCTATGTCCCATAGACAACTACATTTATTATCCTCCAGATGCGTTATCACCCTTGAGGACTAAGATGGAATGCCTCGTTAACACAAGAAGTATGTTCTTATTCTAAGATGTGTGTCTGTGTGTGTGTGTGACTGAGACAGTGTGACTCAATTTTGGTAACAATAAAGTCATAAAAATGATAATAAAGCGGTTTCATTACCATGTTTTTATTAACTCGCTTTCGTGTATATGTCTCTTCGGGTGGAATTTAGTAATTGATTTCAAACTAACTTCCCGATGAGCTAGAGACTTTAATTTTTGAATATAGCTCCGAATCGGATGACAATATAAAATATGTAGAAAAAAAACGTGGTGTAAAAATGGTTTTTTACCTCAATAATTATTGAAATTATAATTACTTCGTGACATTAGTTGAAAAAAGGGAATGAATTTAAACACAGTAGTCGTTAGCATTCCTTTTATTGACAACAAAACATAAGGAGCCGGTGATGCTGCAGTGTGCGCGTCTCTGACGGCACCCTGTGGGAGATGAACGCAGGACACACCAGGGGCTTCCAACAGTTACATACGTACAACAAATGATATAAGTACATAGGTGATTTTTATAGTTTTTTACAACTAGATATACTCGTAAACCCTAACTTTGGTAATAACGCCTTGCTTATTGTAGTAGGTACATTATATCTCATAGGCACAACTAACGTTTACACTGCACGGGAACTCTCTTGTATTGACACCCCCACAATAAGGAGCATATAGTTTGAATCATAGTAATATATGTAATAACATATTAATAACAAGCAAGTTCTGTATCACCCAAATTTTGATAGGAATGTAAATGGTAGTACCTACTTCTGTTTGCACACGGAATCCCATGCTTGTTCAATAAAAATCCACGGCTTTTTTGCCACCAGGACCACTTAGGAATGAGGTGCAATTTTTGACAGATTACATGGTGAGAAAGTTAATTTGTTGAAAAATATAAGTATGAATGCTTCTACTAGATAGGAAGACAAACGAAACTAGGGATATTCCTGAAAGTAGAAAATGAAGACTTAAAAAATGCGAAAAATATTAAGATGCAAATCACTGGCAGTGTTTTGTGTATTTATATAATACTATATACAACTTTTCAATTATATGACATTTGTGTAACAGAAAAATTCACCTCAGTCCCAGCTAGTGACATCTGGCGAACGGAACATTATTAGCCCTCATTCGTGGTTCAATACAAAAAGAAAGGCGCGCGTTCGATCAGGGCTTACGAACAACAAACAGTTCAACAGCAAATAGAATTTTCGACGTTCCGAACATAATATTTGACAGTAAATACTTGAAATATTCTATATATTTCAAATGTTGTAATATATTTCATTCAAGCTATACATGTATATATATGTTATAGATGATATATTGATAGTTTTCTTACGTATAACTTTTTGTGCTCAAATATTCTTGTTTATTTGAGGATAAATATTTATTATTTAGGTAATGATATTATTATATAGATATGAAAATGATTAACATAGGCATGACTAAAACTTAGTGATTACATACCTACTCGTACTGTGAGCACGACTCGAAGCGACGCGGCTCCACAAACACAAAATCAATTGCAGGCAGCTGTCATAATATAGTTTTTTACAAACTATACATCACAAACACTATGCGTTATTGTTTTACGGTATTTACAAGAAGCAAGCAAATCCAAAGGTTAAGAGTAATTAAAAAAAACCCGACTGCGTAAAAATATTTACTGAAGAAGAAAAGTTTTATACATATGACGTTACCCTACTGTCCTTTCTTTAAACGCACTTTTCTTTAGTTTGTATCGAAATGGTAGCATAAAAAGATTATAATATAAATATATTTGGGATTGATTCATTAACAGCTTTTATTTGATACCAATATTGTTGCAATTTATTTTAAAAAAAAAATGTCCTTTTTTTGTATTGGCAGATGCAATATATTACATATATATCCTGTGCCACTCCCAAATATCTAACGACACCTCATAATTTGTTAAAATTCATCAAGTCGTTTAGGCTTACAGAGCGTACCAAAGAAATAGATATACATACATACATACTCTCAAAACACAATACCCTCCTTCTGGCGCAGTCGGGTAATAATATATTAAAATGTCCGTTATGCAGGTAATATTATTTATTTAGTACTATTGCCGTGGATATTCGTTTGCATGGAGCAACGTCTCTGGAGTCTGGAGCTTCGTCATGCCGTTTGCGAACTCTAGTGCATAATATATAAATATCAAATGTTGACAAGCAAGTTCGCGCACATATCGATACACACAGTAGTAACGTATGTACATTTATAGATAAATGCCAATATTTATATTTTCACTTTTAATTATTGAAGTAATATGCACTACGTACTAGAACAAATACCGCGGACAAACCCTCGTGGAAGGAGGCCCAGAGTACCATTTTATAGCACAGACTAAGTTTGGGCCCATGGGCTGTAACGCGTGTTGTGACTTGTGAACGAGTAGGTCTCGGCGGCGCTTCTGGTACATATTACATATTTATATTGAATTATAATATATTTTCTAATAATATTTATATTTACGAGTATTGTTTCAATAAATTTGTTACACAGAGAACAGCGAACACGGGAGCACGTTTAAAACGGCGGAAGAGACATCTAACTGTCAACTAAATTGTACAACACTATATTTTTTCAATTAAACATACATACAAACTTTATACTCTAGTACTGCTATAATATTTAGACAATTTACTACTTAACACTAGAAGGTTGACTAGTCAGCGGTGGAGATCGTCCGAAGTTTCTTATACAATCTTAGTTTTACTAAAATTTAAGTTAAATACTTATGTACAACATATGTCGGTAAATCAGTTTATATTACACAAATGTCTTGGCCTCCAATCTTCACGTAGTTGAAAGATATTGAGTCTTTATTGCCATACACAATGTCGCTACAATACTATGACTATTTCTAATGGGACACGGGTACAAAAATATGAGATACATTTTGTGGAATGTTTGTAACGACACTTTACACTTATATTTTTATTATTATTGTTGTAAGCGTTGGTTCAGATTCAATATGCATATAATATATTTATATAATATAATATATCTTTACGCTTGTTTTTCAATTGATGAAATACAATGTTTATTCATATATTTATAGCAACAACAGTAATTAAAAGCTCATTTGAACATAATTCTATGAGTATTAAAATGTAGAGTAGAATTCATTGAAATCATAATGCTAAGATAAATAATGTTTTGAATTTCAATACATTTTCATTTTCTCTTAGAGTATCGACAATGGAGAATATAGGCCGCCCCTATGAAAAGTACTTAACATCACAAGTTCGCGCTTCAACTTTTCGATGAGATTATTTGAGATCGAATGATCACTATCTGTGTCTTCATGTAATTATTATGTGGAAAATGTCTTGTAAATATCTTAGTTTGCATGTTTATAAGATATAATTTTATAACACTATGGTGACAACCGAGATACATAGGTATGCCTATAGGCCACAGTAACCACAAACTTTCTTCATTGACATTTACGGCAAACGTTAATGAAGAAAGTTGGCCACAGATGCTTTGAGGACTAAGATGGACTTACAGCCCGTGATTATATCATAGCAACTCTGATGTATCTGCTCATGCAAGAGGGAGGATGATAGTATTTATTCATGTGGGTTTAGACAGAAAATATCCCCTAGCAGCTATAACTGTATTGTATTGAATATAAAGCTCAGTAAGATTGTGAAAACGTCAAGGTGATACATTCAGACTTGTGTATGTGTTTACGTGTTCAATCTCAGAGAGGTGCGCGATGCGATGTGTGTACGCGGCTGCGTTTAGTCCGAGTCGGAGTCGGAGGAGGGGGGTGCCGGCGCATGCGGGGCGTCGGCGGGCGCGGGCGCGGCGGGGGCGGGGGCGGCGGGGGCGGGGGCGGGCGCGGCGGCCGCCAGCGCGTACGCCGGCGCCGCCTGCCCACTCGTGCGCTCGATGCCCACGCTGCCGTAACAACGTGCTTAATACACACTCGTTATATATATTATCCTATCGTCTCTAATCCTCTATCCCCGATTAACAAACAAAATTTAGATATGTTGGCACCCCTGAGGATCAAAATATAATATTTTGTTACCAGTGAAAGGTTTACTACAATTACCATTCTTCTTCATCAGTAAAAGTCCATTGCAGAACATGGGTCTTCGTTATAGAGAGGATTCACCTTAATCGTCATGCTTGACAAGCGGCTTAACGAACAAAGTAGGTATTAAAAGTCTTGCAACCGCTAGTTATTTTTTTTTGCGAGATCAGCTATGCTATCACTGCGACCGGTAAGATCTAGTGTGATTGCTCTTGCTGTACTTCACTGCTAAGCCTCTTCAATGAATTGAAGAAGTTGCTTATCTGTAAGCATTTTAAATTCATCTGCGCTAAGTACGTAGTTTCCCAGATGAGTGTTACGTTTGCGCATTGAGTTCAATCAGTTTGGATGTACAGAGATGTTTTTCCTCCCCCATGTGTAGGTACTTATCGTCGGTCTAAGTATTTTACATCTGACACAATCGTTATGATTATACCGCCAAGCCATAAATCATAATTAACATACATTTCCTAAAATACGGCAAATCGATCGTCTTATATATAGTTTTATAACTGCGGGTACAAAATTAAAGAAAGTACAACGAAGGTGGGTAGAAGTCGAAATTCAAAAAACAGTTTGAAGTGCGGTGCAAGTAACTAACCTAAATCAACACTACATCCATCTGCTTGGCGGTTCACACCACCCAAAACATCAAACGATGCAAGCTCCTACAGCGGTAAAATAACTTACATACAACCTGCAGGTAATCCAACAATTGTTCATGAACCAAATCATCACCATCACTATCATTCTCTTTAATAAAGCAACCCCGAATCAGGCGAAGCTGTAAAAGCCATAACGCTAACAGAACTAAACATCTCAGAAAATAGACATAGCATATCAGTCGATCGAAGAATCTTAATAAGTTGTGAAGAGGCTGCCTTGTATCACATCTTGATTGGCAGTACTGCTGATAGTTTGCATACCTCATCTATTTTGGTCTTATCATGTATTTACTTCTAAGTGCTTGCTGTGTTATAAATGTTTTATAACATCAAATCGTTACTGAGAAAATATTCCTTCATTGTTTACTTAATTTTGTACGTGTCGATTCTACATTACATTAAAATAAAGTTTAACTATCGGCGACGGATGGGGCAGTGGATCTTAATCCCCTACCCCATATCATCCATAGAAAGAGGCGACAGAGGCAAATGAAATAAATGAGCAGCATCATCTTTCCACCCCTCAACCCGCCTATCAAACGTGGCAAAATTCCAAAATGAGTCAATCAGAAGCACTATATGTATAATAAATTTCAATGTCAATTGCAAAACATATTTTGCTCGATGAATTTCAATCGGCATTTCGTTCTAATAACAATAGGTACTATCACTTCACTAATCAAGTTACGGACCATATAAAAAGATGGAGGAACATAAATTATTAGCGGTGTCGCCAGTTGACTTTTATAACGCTTTCATCACAGTTGACCATGAAATCCTATAGAATATAAGGTGGAATGGTTTTAACCTTATATTCGTGAACGTTTTGATAATTATGGTTCATCATAAATAAATTAAATTAATTAATGCATCGGTTCATCATTAATAATTACATGTTTAGTCACTACAAATAAAAAACTCATTTATGGAGTAAAATGTTTTTTCTAGCAGCCATTATTGCAATATTTCGTTAAAGATAGTGTGGCATATACAACAAAGCATGTTTTTATAAGGTAGGGTGACAAACGAGCACATAGTCCACTTGATGGTAAGTGGTTGCTGTGAACCATAGACATCTACATTTATCCTCAATAAAGAATCAAAATGCAGATGCGTCGTCACCTATAAGGACTAAGATGGAATGCCTCTTTTCCAGTAAAATGGGTCGCCGGTGCTCTACGCTCACCATACGAAACAGAGTAGTGTCAAGCTGCCATTTTACGCTGGTATTCTGTGAGAGCGTGGTCCTTCCCCGGTCAAGTCGATCCATTCGTGCTACAACTATACTACTAATATAGCTGCAGCATAGCTCTACCACGTATAAAAGCTATTTTTAGAAATCGCTTACTTCTAGGAATTGCGTCAAGTACCAGTTTATTTGGGTTTATTTTGGTAACATCTTTCGCTTGTAAACACATGTTTTTCTTTGCGTTACAAATTAGGTTAATTAATTAATCTAAAATATGTAGAGGCAAGGAAAAGTTTAAGTACTTTAAATAAGTCACTTTGAAGTTCATAATGTCAGATAAGTCATTTATATATAATATAAATAGGAGGGGTCCAAGTATACTACCTTGGAGAACACCGAATTTGTTATTTTTAAATTCGAATCTATACACTAGAGCGGTGTATAGATAGGTTTGTATTTTGAATGTATTTGCATTACTTCTACACAGTGACCTATTTTTTTAACAACTTTCTAGCCAACTAAAGCAGGACCTAATATTCCATTATCTTCTAGTTTATTCACTAATTTACTATATGGGACACGATCGAAGGCTTGAAACATCATCAACTTATAGCACTATTGCATGATTCATTCGGTTTAGATTTTGCAAGCCTTCATTTATTTTTTGAATTGTCAATTGCTTTTTTGAAAGTCATGCTGGTTTTACTCCAAATTTACTAAAGAAGGAAGTAAGTTGGTAGACCATGACTTTTTTGAATATTCTTTAAAGAACTGTGACGAGCAACAGCTTGATAGTTTATTAAAACAGAAACAGAAACTTTTCTTATTCATGATACATAGATATAAATAATACTTATTGAAAGTCACTCTCTTGTTTAACCGCTGGTCCGAAAAAAAACCTGTGTCCTGGGAAGAACCAGCAAGAAACCCAGCAGGACTTTTTTTAAATAACAGCTGACACAATTAACCCACACAAAACAAATTAGAAATAGCTTGGTAGCGATCACCTCATTCCCAGGGGATATTAACATCCACAAATTCCTTAATATTATAATAACCTTTTTTATACAAACTTTGTTTAATGAAGTATTTGAACTTTGAGCAAGTCAAATTTTGTATATTTTCTGTGATTTTGTTGTAAAAGCGTATACATCGCCCCAAGAATGAATAACACATTGGCCTCTAAAAAGCTTGGCGTGCTCAGCAGAGCGGGACAGTATTTCATGCCGGCACACCGCCTGCTACTTTACAAGGCGCAAGTTCGGCCTCACATGGAATACTGTTCCCATCTCTGGGCAGGGGCTCCCCAGTGCCAGCTCCTTCCACTTGACCGCATCCAACGCAGAGTGGCTCGAATTGTCCACGACCGAGCCCTTTCCGATCGGCTCGATTCATTGGCACTGCGAAGAGATGTTGCATCCCTTTGCATTTTCTTTCGCATCTACCATGGGGAGTGCTCTGAGGAATTGTTCGGATTAATCCCAGCCGCCAAATTTCACGAACGCACATCGCGGCAGAACTCCCGATACCATCTACACCATCTGGATGATTGGCGGTCCACCACTGTGCGATTTAGAAGATGTTTTCTTCCTCGCACGACCTCCTTGTGGAATCGATTACCATCAGCGATTTTTCCGGACCGATACGACTTAGGGACCTTCAAGAAAAGAGCGTACTCCTTTTTAAAAGGCCGGCAACGCATCTGCGATTCCCCTGGTGTTGCAGTTGTTCATGGGCGGCGGTAGTCACTTACCATCAGGTGAGCCGCATGCTCGTTTGCCCCCTCTCCTATAAAAAAAAAAAAAAACTGACTGGGTGGAGTCGAGTAACTGGTACTACTAGCTTGTGTCTGTTCCTACTATTTAGATAGATAACTCTTTATTGCATTTATACAAAGTGTTACAACTACGGAAAACTTAAGAACTACAAACGGTGGTCATATCGCTTTAAGCGATTTCTACCTGACAAACCGAACGTAAAAGGGACAATGTAATATATTTTGACGGATAGGTGCAACGTGCAATATAAAATAAAACTGAGGACAAAAACTTATAATTAAACAAGATTTATATAAATATATGACTTATATAATATATAATAATATAAAATTAATAAACATATATAAATAAATATATACAAATATATATATACACACATACATACATATATATATATGCAGAGAAAATTAAACATAAAGAAAAAAAAAACAAGTATTAATAAAAAGAGGAAAAGCATATAATTTATAATTATGACGGGAAAGTCAAATAATACTCCTTCAGTTGTTTTTTAAAAGTCTGTAAAGATTGCGCTTGCTGGATGTTAAGTGGTAATGAATTCCAGAGTCTGGTTGCTTGTGAAGTAAATGAATTATTATAAAAAGAAGTTACGCTGCAAGGAGTATTCAAAGCCAAGCTATACACTGAACGCAAACTACGATCATGAAATTCATATCGATAGTGAAATTGTTCCTTAAGGTACCTTGGAGATTTCGGATCAAACAGAACACAAAAAAGTAAAGAAAGTAAATGAACATTCCGGCGAAGGTGAATTGGGAGCCACTTGGGTTGATTTAGAAATTGGGATACATGGTCATATTTGCGTAAGCCAAATATGAACCGAATGGAAAGATTTTGAAGATGCTCAAGCTTGTTTAATTGCTCCATGGTAATATCAGTGTAGCATATATATCAGCATAGTCTAAAATAGGCAACAAAATGGAATGTGCTAAGGCAATTTTGGTAGAAATGGGTAAGAAATTTCGAAGTCTTTTGAGACTTCCACAAGCTGCAAATTTAATTTATTTATTGAATGAATATCACTTATTTTTGTATAACTACCTTTATTTTTGTATACCTACCTTTATTTTTGTGTACGTACATTATATTTTCATAAATGTATTGAGAGAGATATTCTTTTCTAGTATCATTTTTCTTTTTTGTATATACCTAATAAAATAAAGTAATATTTACACAGTTTCTCCAAACTGAACAAGTATATTTTTATTTTATTTTATTACACGTAGCTGTATTGATTATTGTTTTACAGCACTATCACTTCTATTGAGGGAGGGGCCTGGTGATCCCATAGCACCGGGCAACCTCGTTTAGATCAGTCTCCCTAGATCTCATTTAGTTATAAGGCAGTTTCCGATCAATATTATTATTATGTGGGGTATCTATATAGTTTTCTCGTCTGATTGGCCTGTGTAAATATATAAATGTAAATAAAAATGATAAATATACATAAATATCAATAAAATAAATACATAAATAAATAAAAATCCAACCAGATGGAAGCCCTCGGCAGGGGAGACCGAGGGTTAGGAAGAAAGGGAAAGAAACCGGCGGACGATGCGTGCGATATCGAGGAGCACCTTCTGCATCTGAGTCCGGAGCGGTCCGTCACGTCGAGTCCCAATCGCCCCAGATGACCTGAGAGGCTGACTGGGATTAACCCGTTAGCAGAAACGACCACAGAAATAATTTCGGTCGGCAGACCACCCCACATGTCGGTCACCTCGTGAGCCAGGGCCAGATATTTTATCTGCTTATCTGTTTCGGCTTTTACGAGGTTCTCGTCAGAAGGAATGGTAATATCGACCAAAATATCCTTGACTGTATTTATTATATTATTACTATATTATTATTATTGGAAGACATGTGACGTTCGTCAATACGCATTGGGGCAGCACGGCGGACATTTCCTTGCTCTAAAACCCTATCAGAAATGCTAGAAGGCCTGTGCCCAACAGTGAGACTATAGGCTGTAACGAACTAATTTAATTTTGAATGATAATTTAATAAAAAAATATTTTTCTAAATAATTCTACTTTTTTCATATTATTTACATTTCCGCTTCTGAATTCGTTTCCGTTTCTGCTTCCGTTATGACACTTCCGTTGTATCACTAATATTAATTAGGAATGTTAGTATTTTATTTAGCTTCTGTTTTATTGAAATACAATATTATTTTAATATTTTTATGTATAGGAGTTAAATAATTAAATGATATATTTTCGTACCAGTTGTATTTTCGTATCAGTTGTATTTCGCTTTACTTAGCAAGAGCATGACCACATTTACGATTATATTCCTTTCAATTATATTCTCTCAAAATTAGAATCGCTCAAAAGCTTTTGAAATTTACTTGTTTCAATTTGTAATGTTGCATAATTCAGCTGTTTTATGGCGAATTTTATGCCATATCTTGGTCGTTAGAGGCTCACCCTTAAATCAGCGGAGTGGCAACATTAATATGTATTTGGGGAAAATTTACGTATTGACATGATATGTTACTGTTACTATTACAGCCTATCAAAATCGTATAAGGAATACACAGCATGTTGCATTTAGGTGTACTCACGTGTACTCGTGTCGGGCGAGGTATCGCACGTACTTCTCGGGCGGGTCGTTGTCGTGGTTCTGCAGCGAGACGGAGCGCACGGTGGTGTGCGAGACTTGCGTGGCCGGCATCGTGAACTCCACCGTGGCCCAGCGCGCGAGCTCCGCCGGCACCTGGTCGTACGACGTCAGCGCCATGCGGCACACCAGCGCGTGCGTCGTGTACGCACCTGCACGCACACACGCACACGTCACACATACCGCAACAAACACATCTACACCTACACCTTTATACGTGCTAGAACCACGCTGCAGCTACACGTCGTACGACGTCAGCGCCATGCGGCACACCAGCGCGTGCGTCGTGTACGCACCTGCACGCACACACGCACACGTCACACATACCGCAACAAACACATCTACACCTACACCTTTATACGTGCTAGAACCACGCTGCAGCTACACGTCGTACGACGTCAGCGCCATGCGGCACACCAGCGCGTGCGTCGTGTACGCACCTGCACGCACACACGCACACGTCACACATACCGCAACAAACACATCTACACCTACACCTTTATACGTGCTAGAACCACGCTGCAGCTACACGTCGTACGACGTCAGCGCCATGCGGCACACCAGCGCGTGCGTCGTGTACGCAACTGCACGCACACACGCACACGTCACACATACCGCAACAAACACATCTACACCTACACCTTTATACGTGCTAGAACCACGCTGCAGCTACACGTCGTACGACGTCAGCGCCATGCGGCACACCAGCGCGTGCGTCGTGTACGCACCTGCACGCACACACGCACACGTCACACATACCGCAACAAACACATCTACACCTACACCTTTATAGGTGCTAGAACCACGCTGCAGCTACACGTCGTACGACGTCAGCGCCATGCGGCACACCAGCGCGTGCGTCGTGTACGTAACTGCACGCACACACGCACACGTCACACATACCGCAACAAACACATCTACACCTACACCTTTATACGTGCTAGAACCACGCTGCAGCTACACGTCGTACGACGTCAGCGCCATGCGGCACACCAGCGCGTGCGTCGTGTACGCACCTGCACGCACACACGCACACGTCACACATACCGCAACAAACACATCTACACCTACACCTTTATACGTGCTAGAACCACGCTACAGCTACACGTCGTACGACGTCAGCGCCATGCGGCACACCAGCGCGTGCGTCGTGTACGCACCTGCACGCACACACGCACACGTCACACATACCGCAACAAACACATCTACACCTACACCTTTATACGTGCTAGAACCACGCTGCAGCTACACGTCGTACGACATTAGCGCCATGCGGCACACCAGCGCGTGCGTCGTGTACGCACCTGCACGCACACACGCACACGCCACACATACCGCAACAAACACATCTACACCTACACCTTTATACGTGCTAGAACCACGCTGCAGCTACACGTCGTACGACATTAGCGCCATGCGGCACACCAGCGCGTGCGTCGTGTACGCACCTGCACGCACACACGCACACGTCACATATACCGCAACAAACACATCTACACCTACACCTTTATACGTGCTAGAACCACGCTGCAGCTACACGTCGTACGACGTCAGCGCCATGCGGCACACCAGCGCGTGCGTCGTGTACGCACCTGCACGCACACACGCACACGTCACACATACCGCAACAAACACATCTACACCTACACCTTTATACGTGCTAGAACCACGCTGCAGCTACACGTTGTACGACGTCAGCGCCATGCGGCACACCAGCGCGTGCGTCGTGTACGCACATGCACGCACACACGCACACGTCACATATACCGCAACAAACACATCTACACCTACACCTTTATACGTGCTAGAACCACGCTGCAGCTACACGTCGTACGACGTCAGCGCCATGCGGCACACCAGCGCGTGCGTCGTGTACGCAACTGCACGCACACACGCACACGTCACACATACCGCAACAAACACATCTACACCTACACCTTTATACGTGCTAGAACCACGCTGCAGCTACTCGTCGTACGACGTCAGCGCCATGCGGCACACCAGCGCGTGCGTCGTGTACGCACCTGCACGCACACACGCACACGTCACACATACCGCAACAAACACATCTACACCTACACCTTTATACGTGCTAGAACCACGCTGCAGCTACACGTCGTACGACGTCAGCGCCATGCGGCACACCAGCGCGTGCGTCGTGTACGTAACTGCACGCACACACGCACACGTCACACATACCGCAACAAACACATCTACACCTACACCTTTATACGTGCTAGAACCACGCTGCAGCTACACGTCGTACGACGTCAGCGCCATGCGGCACACCAGCGCGTGCGTCGTGTATGCAACTGCACGCACACACGCACACGTCACACATACCGCAACAAACACATCTACACCTACACCTTTATACGTGCTAGAACCACGCTGCAGCTACACGTCGTACGACGTCAGCGCCATGCGGCACACCAGCGCGTGCGTCGTGTACGCACCTGCACGCACACACGCACACGTCACACATACCGCAACAAACACATCTACACCTACACCTTTATACGTGCTAGAACCACGCTGCAGCTACACGTCGTACGACGTCAACGCCATTCGGCACACCAGCGCGTGCGTCGTGTACGCACCTGTACGCACACACGCACACGTCACACATACCGCAACAAACACATCTACACCTACACCTTTATACGTGCTAGAACCACGCTACAGCTACACGTCGTACGACGTCAGCGCCATGCGGCACACCAGCGCGTGCGTCGTGTACGCACCTGCACGCACACACGCACACGTCACACATACCGCAACAAACACATCTACACCTACACCTTTATACGTGCTAGAACCACGCTGCAGCTACATGTCGTACGACATTAGCGCCATGCGGCACACCAGCGCGTGCGTCGTGTACGCACCTGCACGCACACACGCACACGCCACACATACCGTAACAAACACATCTACACCTACACCTTTATACGTGCTAGAACCACGCTGCAGCTACACGTCGTACGACATTAGCGCCATGCGGCACACCAGCGCGTGCGTCGTGTACGCACCTGCACGCACAGACGCACACGTCACATATACCGCAACAAACACATCTACACCTACACCTTTATACGTGCTAGAACCACGCTGCAGCTACACGTCGTACGACGTCAGCGCCATGCGGCACACCAGCGCGTGCGTCGTGTACGCACCTGCACGCACACACGCACACGTCACACATACCGCAACAAACACATCTACACCTACACCTTTATACGTGCTAGAACCACGCTGCAGCTACACGTTGTACGACGTCAGCGCCATGCGGCACACCAGCGCGTGCGTCGTGTACGCACATGCACGCACACACGCACACGTCACATATACCGCAACAAACACATCTACACCTACACCTTTATACGTGCTAGAACCACGCTGCAGCTACACGTCGTACGACGTCAGCGCCATGCGGCACACCAGCGCGTGCGTCGTGTACGCACCTGCACGCACACACGCACACGTCACACATACCGCAACAAATACATCTACACCTACACCTTTATACGTGCTAGAACCACGCTGCAGCTACACGTCGTACGACGTCAGCGCCATGCGGCACACTAGCGCGTGCGTCGTGTACGCACCTGCACGCACACACGCACACGTCACACATACCGCAACAAACACATCTACACCTACACCTTTATACGTGCTAGAACCACGCTGCAGCTACACGTCGTACGACGTCAGCGCCATGCGGCACACCAGCGCGTGCGTCGTGTACGCACCTGCACGCACACACGCACACGTCACACATACCGCAACAAATACATCTACACCTACACCTTTATACGTGCTAGAACCACGCTGCAGCTACACGTCGTACGACGTCAGCGCCATGCGGCACACCAGCGCGTGCGTCGTGTACGCACCTGCACGCACACACGCACACGTCACACATACCGCAACAAACACATCTACACCTACACCTTTATACGTGCTAGAACCACGCTGCAGCTACACGTCGTACGACATCAGCGCCATGCGGCACACCAGCGCATGCGTCGTGTACGCACCTGCACGCACACACGCACACGTCACACATACCGCAACAAACACATCTACACCTACACCTTTATACGTGCTATAACCACGCTGCAGCTACACGTCGTACGACATCAGCGCCATGCGGCACACCAGCGCGTGCGTCGTGTACGCACCTGCACGCACACACGCACACGTCACACATACCGCAACAAACACATCTACACCTACACCTTTATACGTGCTAGAACCACGCTGCAGCTACACGTCGTACGACGTCAGCGCCATGCGGCACACCAGCGCATGCGTCGTGTGCTTATATAATACACACATCTACATCTAAAACTAGCATGGGATCGACAAGGAAAGAAAAACTAAATGTTACCAACTATGAAGCCAATACTATTCAGGTTTGTAAGTCGACTCCTCCTTCTTTAATAGTTTCGTAGTGAATTTCTACGGGCTAAAATGGCACATTAATCGTCACGCTTGGCAGGCAAGTTGACAATCGTAATACCAGACACACTATTGACAGCGTCGATCTGTGTATTTTTTTTTTTGGAGTTTATGGCCTGGTATCTAGACCTTTAGGCCAAGTCTTAAGTATTTTTATTCGGTTTATTGTAATTTCCCCACTCCTTCATAGTATACTGCTTCACAATATGTTGATGCGTCACATTGTGCAGTTCTTGGGAGATTTTGGCGGCAACTTGATCCAGCAGACAGCTTATAGTTGGCGATGCAAACAAACAGCTTATCTTGAGAATCCATCACCATCAGAGCACTTGTTTCACTGTTTCCACTAATAGTTCACATGCGTAGACACTTAATACACAAAATCGCAACACTTTTACATATCAAAGTCCACTTCAAACCATTATTTTAACAATAATACAGGAGCAGCAAACCGCCGCCGGTCAATTTCCCGCCAAAACTCCGTCGATCTGTGTATTTATTTCTGTTCTGTCGTAAACAAGTTGGTTATACTGTGTGGCATTGGACCACATAAAAATTTTCTAGCATTTTGAAGGAAATGTGGTGATAAATAATAATCTCACGCCGCTCCCACACGGCTAATTATTTTTATAATTTAGTTTGCAACAAGCAAATTATTTTCACAAAAATCTACTAACTACAGTACGTGAGCTTGAAGACTTTAATATTGTAGAGGCCTTAGAAAGTAATAAAAGCTATATTTCAAGACTTAACTTTTAACTCGAGACTTTGAAAGTTAGAAGATATGCAGCTATTTTGGTATTGGTTAACTAAGAATATTAATTAATCGAACTCAGTATAAGAATAGCTAATTACCACGAACAACAAATCTTTAAATAAATGTGGTGTTCCTCAAGGTAGTATCCTAGAACCCACATTGTTCTTTATTTACATTAATGGAAGTTGAAAGAAAAATTAAACGGGGAGGTGACCTTGTCCTTCCTTGGGCAGGCGTGGCATGCGCCACACGATCGCTCGGTGCTGGTGCTCGTACTTGGCCTGGCCGGACGTCACCTCGATCAGCGATTCTTGTAGCGGCTCCACGGCGCCCAGAAACCGCTCGATGCCCTTGATTTTGCCCGTGCGACTGTACACACACACATCACATAATGCATCACTTTTCATATTCACAATATTATTATAATACTAGCTGTTCCTCGCGACTTCGCCTGCGTGGAATTTATTAGGATAGTATTCTTTTTGCGCGTAATCCTAATTCTTCTTCTAAAATAAAAGTAGTTATCTGCCAGTGAAAGTTCCGTCAAAATCAGTTCAGCCGTTTCGGAGTTTAGCCGGAATAAAGAGACAAACGGACAGACAAAAATTTTAAAAATTGTTTTTTTGATTATTAGCACCGTATATACTTTCATATGCATTTAGTTAAAAGCTCTTATTTTGCCAGTACAAACAGACACTTCAATTTTATTTATTTGTACAGATAGGTGATAACAAATATTAATATAATATAGATATTAATCAATATTATTTGAATATCATCATAAATTATTCATTCAATTCTCATTTTAACAAACGCAAAAGTGTAAGTACCTATATATTTTTAAATCATGTCACAAACATCTTATAAAATCAATTATTAGCACTATTTACTATGAAAAGTAAAATCAATTTCATAGTAAATAGTACCGTCTTTATAGTGTTTACAATGTTATGATAATATTGTTTCACATATTATATAAATATTCTCGAAGCTGTACAAATAACTGTAAAAATAACAACGAAGTTGATATTTTCCGTAATGTGATTACAATTACGAGTAACACATATTTATTAAACCTTGAGTGAAATAGTGTTTCAATTGATTTGAAGCGTAAATATACATTTGAAATCAATCGAATATTATGATATCTAGTGAGTTAAAAGTGAGTAAAAGTGAGTGTGAGTGTGAGTGTGAGTGTGTGTGTGTGTGAGTGTGAGTGTGAGTGTGAGTATGAGTGTGAGTGTGAGTGTGAGTGTGTGTGAGTGTGAGTGTGAGTGTGAGTATGAGTGTGAGTGTGAGTGTGAGTGTGTGTGTTAGTGTGAGTGTGAGTGTGAGTGTGAGTGTGTGTGAGTGTGAGTGTGAGTGTGTGTGAGTGTGAGTGTGAGTGTGTGTGAGTGTGAGTGTGAGTGTGAGTGTGAGTGTGTGTGAGTGTGAGTGTGAGTGTGTGTGTGTGAGTGTGAGTGTGAGTGTGTGTGTGAGTGTGAGTGTGTGTGAGTGTGAGTGTGAGTTTGAGTGTGAGTGTGTGTGTTAGTGTGAGTGCGAGTGCGAGTACGAGTGCGAGTGCGAGTGCGCGTGTGCGTGTGGGTGCGCGTGCGCGTGCGCGTGTGCGTGTGTGTGTGTGTGTGTGCGCGCGCGCGTGTGCGTGTGTGTGTGTGTGCGCGCGTGTGCGTGTGTGGGTGCACGTACCGGTGCGCCGACTTGACGGAGCCGTAGCGGAAGTGCTTCTCGACGCGGAACAGGTAGATCCAGCACTCGGGGATGGGGAAGCGCACGCTGACGTCCTCGCACGGCACCTGCCCCAGGCGCCGCGACGCGAACCCCGGCACCAGCGCGTCCGCGCGCAGCTCCACCTGCAGCCGCATCCCAACCCTCGTCACATCGCGCTCACTCGCCACTCGCGTCGTGCCCACACCTTTATACCGGCCTAATATACCAGCTTAATGCTGCCGTGTTTCGTATGATCAGTATAAAACATGACATCCTTTTTACTGGAAACGAGGCATTCCGTCTTAGTCATCGGGAGTGCCAACGCATCTGAATTTAATTCTTAATCGAGAATAAATGTAGATGCATGGCTATACATGGTAGAGCCATGCTGCAGCTATATTGGTAGTTGAGTTGTAGCACGAATGGGTCGGATCGACCAGGAAAGTAGCACGCTCTCACAGAATACCAGCGTAAAATAGCAGCATAACACTGCTGTGTTTCGTATGGTGAGTGTAGAGAACCGGAGACCCATTTTACTGGAAAAGAGGCATTCCATCGTAGTCCTCACGGGTGACGACGCATCTGCATTTAGATTTTTTATTGAGGATAAATGTAGATGTCTATGGGCCGCAGCAACCACTTACCATCAGGTTGACTGTGTGCTCGTTTGTCACCCTATCCTATAAAGAAATGTCTATGAGCCTCAGCATCCCTTATCATGAGGTGGACTGTGTGCTCTTTTATCACCCACATTTTAAGTCATACGATAATAATTAAAATATATTCAAAACCTGATAATTCTTATATACCCTGAAGATACTGTGAGGCGAAGCAGGTCGGTTTAAATTTTTTTTATAAAAGCATATATTTAGAACCGATATATTTTATAATAACAATTTACAACTACTACTCTGGGTCCTCTGGCTGTTCAACATGAAGAATGCAGGTTAAGAATGAGTGAGTTAACCGTCAAATGCATTTTGTACGCCGATGATCAAGTCATACTTGCGTTGTTGGCCGCCAAGTTGCAAATGATGATTACATTAATGAACAAGTCATTAAAAGAAAAGGGAATGAAAGTGAACACAAGTAAGACGAAAGTTATGGCATTTGAAAGAGAAAAAGTAAAACGATATATGAAATAAGAATAGAAGGGGAGTCGGTCGAGCAAGTAGATGAGTTTGTGTATTTGGGATGTGTATTTAGCAGGGATGGTAGACATGATAAGGATATAGAACGACGAGTGAATGCAGGAAATAGAGTGAATGGGGCTCTACACTCTATTGTGGGAAGTCAGAATGTGTCCAAAAAGGCACGTATGGCAATTTACAATTCTGTATTAGTCCCTACTTTAATGTATGGTAGTGAAAGTTGGGTGTGGCAGAAGAAGCACGAGAGTAGAATAAATGCTGTAGAAATACGGTCACTAAGGAGTATGTTAGGGATGAACCTGAATGACAGGGTGAGAAATTGTTTAATAAGCGAAGAGTGTGGTTTGCAAGATGGTGTTGTGACCAGGATTAGGAAAGGATTGCTTCGGTGGTTTGGCCATGTAGAAAGAATGAATGAGGAAAGAGTGACAAAGCAAATTTATGATGCAGAGATGAACGGCAGAGTCGGGAAGGGACGCCCTTAGCGAAAGTTTATGGACCAAATTGGCGATATATTGAAAATGGGTCAAATTAAGAGCACCTTTTACCGACGAGCGTGTATACGTAGTTATATGGATGTGGAGAAAGCGAAAGAGGTGTGTCAGAATCGTGTCAAATGGAAGTCCATAGTCTTTGCCTACTCTACTGCGTGATAGGCGTGAGTGTTTATGTTATAATAATTTATAAATAAATATTGTGAAACTAATACAAATTACAAAAATGAAGCTGGCGTTTCAAGAAGTGACGAAAATCGCAAATATAAATTATATAAAATATGTATAAGTAGCCGAAGCAGCAGTCAGACCTTGTTCCCCGTGACACACCAGGCGGCTTTCAGCTGCAGCGGCAGCTCGCGGTTCTTGGGCGGGCGCACGCGGAACCGCATCAGCTCGATGTAGCACGCATCTGGCGGCTTGAACCTGCCAGACGGCACTCTCATTGTTTACTTGCTTTGGATACATCTTATTCTATTCCTAAGCTTTAGATTGAAAGTCTAGCACATAAGTCGTATACTTTAGATTTAGAGGTTTTATTTTGTTATATTATAGCGAGATTGATATACATCTGTCGATATTAGCTGTAACTATACAACATGTAACAAAAACCATGTGGTTCTCGTTAAGTGCGTTATCAGAATCAGTATTCAAACGCAAAGAAATAACTTTACCTCAGAAAACTCGATTTAACAAAATTTAAATAAATTTTTATTTGCAAATTGTGTGTGGTTTGACTTCTGTTCTTCCCTCGGTGGAGACGCTTCTTGCAACATTTAGAAACAAATTTCGTCAACTTTTGTTGATTTGTCAACATGTCGGAAACATAAATGTTGTTAACATTTTTGGTGGAGACGAGCCTGACAGAAACATTTGCCGGCAACACGTGTTGACAAATGTTGAAAACTTTGGTGGAGACGCGCCATTAGATAACAAATAAACGATCAAATATTGCATATAAGTAATAAATAGTTGTAAAGCTACAAGTAAAAAGGCGGCGAGCACCTGAGTATCTGGTCCTTAGCGAACTGGTCTGCCTGCACGCAGGCGTGGAATTGTGCATTCTCGACGCGGATCCACTCCTCGGTGGCGCCGGGCACGATGTCGTGGCGCCCCACCACCTCGCGGCCCTGTCGCCGCAGATCGTTCAGCCCCACCTCCACGTCCGGCATGCCTGCACCACCGCCACCATCACCACCTCACCACTTGCTTACTTACTTTACTCCATGTACTAGTCACAAAACTGAAGCATGCGCAACCACGCTCTGTGCCTAGTACTGATCTTTTTTTTATTTCATTTATAAGACTTGCTGGCTAACAGCGGGAAATTTACATGGTAAAGTCAAGCTGCAGCTAAGCGGCATGAATTTTTTTTTTATAGTATAGGGTGACGAGAACACAGTCCACCTGATGGTAAGTGGTTCCTGCGGCCCATAGACATCTACATCTATCTTCGTTTGCGAATTAAAATGCAGATGCCTTGTCAGCCGTGAGGACTAAGATAGGATGCCTCTTTTCCAGTAAAAAAGTTCTCCGGTGCTCTACACTCACCATACGAAACACAGCAGCATTAAGCCGCTATTTTACGCTGGTATTCTGTGAGAGCGTGGTCCTTCCCCGGTGGAGCCGACCCATTCGTGCTACAACTACGAGTATACTATTAACATAGCTGCAGTATGGCTCTACCACGTAAAAGAATGCATGGTTCGGCTTGACCGGGGTAGAACCGGTGAGTGTAGAGAACCGGAGACCCTTTCTGCTGGAAAAGAGACATTCCATCTCATTCCTCAAGTCTGACAACGCATTTGCATTTTGATTCGCAAATGAGGATAGATGTGTCTATGGGTTACAGCAACCACTTACCATCAGGTGGACTGTATGCTCGCTTGTCACCCTATTGCTATAAAAAAAAATCTTACAAAATACCAGCGTAAAACAGCACAATAATGTTGTGTTTCGTATGCTAAGTGTAAAGGTCCGGAGGTTCTTTATATGTGTAACGAGGCATTCTATCTTAGGTTTCAGGGGGCGACAACGCACCTATATTTTTATTGTTAATCGAGGATACATGTAGATGTCTATGGACCAGGACCATTTACTTACCTTTACGTGAACTGTGTGCTCGCTTGTCACCTTTATTTCATAAAAATAAATAAAAATACAGCTCATTTAAGTTTCATAGGATACGAGCAAGTTTCCCAGAATCAATCAAATTGCTTATTGCAATTTTCAGAACTGACTTACCATAGTTTGACGGTAATTGGAAATGTTGTGAGTGTACCTGCATGTTTATTTATTTATGTTCACGTTTATACACACGTTTATAGTACGGTGCCTAATCTAGGTTTCTAATGTGTCTATCCTTATTTGGGACTTATCATTACAATTATATTAGATTAAGACAGAATTGTGTAGTTGTAGTGTAGAAATATCCACCCGTTCATATCTTCCCGTGGGTGCTGTAAGAGGCGACATAAGGGGAAACAAATCTTTTTTTTTTTTTTTTTTAAATCTTTATTTATTATAGAGGGTTTGATCTATTAGATCATGTCACCCTCATAAGTACACAATCAAATACATATAATCAACAATGATAAATTCACGTAAACAATAATAAAAAATTATCTGTTCTTAATACCTACCAATACTAGTTTATATAGTTTTCTAGCCTTATCCGACAATGGAAAAGCTAAAATACTATTACACAATCCAACACTATTTTTGTCAAAACCTAATAGTTTTCTATATGCTTCGTTCCGTTCACATTCCATCATAATATGGATAGTATCTTCCAGAACTCCACATTTGACACAATTTGGTGAATTCACTTTTTTCATCATAAACGCAAATTTGTTTAATGGAATATGTCCAGAACGAAGCCTCATTGCTGTAATAATGTCTTGCCTTCCCATATTGCATCCTTCAAACCAAAGGAAGCGGGAAAGATGCGGTTGTATCGTCTTGTACCAAATACCTTTTGACAGTGACCTTTCATCAAAGTATTCGGACCACTTTTCTGTACAGTTTACTCGGACTTTAGATAAGAGTTCGGAGAAATAAGGAACACAATCGAAATTATCCCCATCACTTATCGCCTCTTTAGCAAGAATGTCTACCGCCTCATTTCCCTCTAAACCAATATGGGAAGGCACCCATTGTAAGACTATCCTTTTATGGTTCGATTTTAATGTTAAAATATTACTTAATATGTCGTAAGCCAATGGAAAACCGCGACACAGTAAAGTACATCTTTTTAAATGTTGAAGGGCACTGCGAGAATCAGTTAATATCAACAATTTATCATATTTAAGTGACTTGACATAAGATAAGGCTTCCGCAATTGCAATGAGTTCCGCATGCATAACTGAAATTTCCTTACCTAAGCAAAGCTTAATGTATTCTTTGGTTTGAATGTCTAAAAATGCAGCACCCGTTCCTTCTTTATCTTTAGAGCCATCGGTATATATTTTATAGTAATTTGTAAAGTTTTCAGTTAAATGTTTTCGACATAAAGTTTGTAAGTAAAGGGGATTGTACTTATGTTTAGGTGCGTTAACAAATTCTATTTGAGGGTTTATAGAATCAGATATATCCAACTTGCTAATCCACGAATTGAGTGAAAACATTTCTAAGTAAGGACTTGAAAATATACGAATTTCTTTAAATAATCTATGGGTTGTAACTAGCAGTGGGGTTTTCCTACGTCGCCAATAGAAGCTTTCTTTACGTTCATCAAGGATACATAATAAATTTGTAACAATATTTTCATCAATAGACTTACACTTTAACCAAAATTTACCTGCTAAATATCTTCTTCGAATAAACAATGGCTGTAAAAGCAGTTCCGATTCCATTACATGGATAGGAGTACTCTTGACAAACCCACCAATTATCCGCATACACTGATTTTGTATTATATCTAGTTTTGTTAAATGTGTTTTGTGGCTATTATCAAATAAAAAGCTAGCATAATCCAATCTACTACGTATAATAGCTATATATAAGCGACGCAACTGAACTGGATGTACTCCCCACCCTGGTCCTGTTAAAACTTTTAAAATATTTACAAACTTAAGGGCTTTCTCTTTTATTTCGTTTATGTGCTTGGCCCATCGAAGAGATCGATTTAACCATAACCCTAAATATTTAATGCTTTCAACGATTTTAAGGCTTCTTTTGTTAACCGTTATATTTAGGTGTTCTTTTACGCGTCCATTCCTAAATATGCATACTTTACTCTTTGATGAAGATATTTCTAGTCCTAACTCGAAAAATAAACTATTAAGAGTATTCAGAGCTAACTGTATATCAATAACTCCGTTACTGATACTATCACAATTCTTATATATAACAAAATCATCCGCATATTGAGAGATATAAACGTTTTTCACAGTTTTACATATATTAAGAGTAGCTACATTAAACAAAAGAGGAGATAACGGATCTCCTTGGGCTAGACCTCGCCCTGTAAATCTACTGATACACATGTTATCCACATATATTTTAAGATGTCGTTCATTAAGTAAACTACTAAGATATTGACAAATTTTCGTTCCTACATTAAGTTGATCTAAGGTGTGCAGTAATGCATTTATGTCAACATTATTATACGCATTGTCTAAATCTAAGAAGCATCCTATCGTGGACTGACTCTCTGTAAAACCTATTTGTATCCTTGATACCAAACTACTAAGACTATCTAAGCAGGATCGGGTTCTCCTAAAACCGAACGTATTAGGAGAAAAGACTTTGTTTTTTTCCAGAAACCACTCTAGTCTCCCTTTAATAATTAAATGAAAGATTTTGCATAAGCAAGACATAAGTGATATCGGGCGCAAGGACGATACATCATTAATGTCTCTTCCTGGCTTTGGGATCGCTATAATACCAATATCTCTCCATTGTGATGGTATGAAACTGTTTTCGAGAAAAGCATTATACAGCTTGATTAAAATGCATTTGCCATTAAATGGAAGGTGTTTCAACATTGAATACGCTATGCCATCGCATCCAGGAGATGTATCCTTTAATTTAATACATGTATCAAGCTCCTGAATTGAGACCTCTTCCTCTAGTAACATGTTACTAGAACTAAAACTAGCCGGTTCTGGTGAAGCAAAATCTGGCGTTAGACTGCGAAGAAGTATTTCCGCTTTTTCTCTATCTATATGGTGGCTATTATGTGATCTAAAACCTTTCATCCATCTCATCTTTTGCCACATATCCCTAATAGTTGTTGTTTCATTTAACGAATTACAAAACCTCTCCCAATTACGTAATTTAGCCTGACGAATTAACCTCTGTGTGTCTCTAATTTTGTCTTGGAGTATAGCTAAATTCTGAGGTGTTGAGTTACGTCTAAACCTGGCCAGTGCTTGTCTACGAATGGCTACTGACTTCGATATTTCTACATCCCAGTAAGGCTTAGGTACAAATTTAGACTCTGGGTTTTGATTTATTTTAATAAAAGGGATATGAATGTCAGCTGCTAAATTCAAATATTCTAAAAATATATTGTAACATTTTTGAAGATCAGTAGTATATATTGGGAATTGGTGAAAAAGTTTTTCAAGAGTATTCATGTATCCGTCCCAATTTGCTTTTTTAAAATTTCTTTTAAGATCATACGCTAACCGCTTTTGATATAGAGCTGATATTTTAATCATAAGATGATCACTACCTAAAGTCTCTCGAAGTACCTTCCAATTAAATTTATAGACGATATCAGACGTAATGAGCGATAAATCAGGGGATGACGCTTGTAAGACTCCATTCACAACTCTAATTCGAGTGCTTTCTCCATTATTTAATACCGCAAAGTTAGCATCTAAAAGAGCATCAAATATTTGTGAACCTCTGTTATCAGTCTTGTACGACCAGCTTGAGTGATGAGCGTTGAAATCCCCAATGATCAAGGTTTTACAACTAAATGTCGAAAATAATTCATCCCAATCTCTTTGGCAGGTACGCACCGACGATGGACAATAAATAGAAACAATATTTTCTAAATCCTGACAGTTAAAATTTTTTACGTAAATAGCTTCTATGCCATCATTACTTAATTGCAAATGTCCCCTAACCGTTTTAATAGATTTGTGTGCTAAAACAGCAACACCCCCATAAGAGTCATTTCTATCATTACGGTAAATATTATAATCTTTAATTTTAATATAAGTTTCAGAATTTAACCATGTTTCGCTTAAGGCTACGATATGTATTTTTTCCTGAGTTAACAAAGGCTCTAAAGACATTAGTTTAGGCTTAACACTTTGAGCATTCCACTGTAAGATATTAAGGTTTACTGTATTACATTTAAGGTTTCTATCCATTAAATAAGTTTAAAACAGTTTTCAACATTGGCCATTCCGAGATATTGTCTACAGTTACCAAAATTAACCACTCAACACCTAATTTTATCACTTTGTAAACTTTCTCTTGCAAACTAAAATTATTAAAAAATATTACTTCCTTTAACCTCACAAGTAGCTCACTAAAAGATATATTACCAGAAGATTTGTTGTTATTTTCCTCACTATAGCTAGTATTAGGTTCAAATCTATTACTTTGTAATGACGTGTCACGCTCTGTATTTCTTTTCTCCTTTTTTGTTTGGTGTCGGCGGGACGAAGATACATTACTTTCACATTGACTAATATTATCTTCGTTATGCACAATAACATTGGCTGTCACTTCTGCAAAAGTAGGAACATTCTGGGTTGTAGCCGCTTCCCTCTTCGGTGTGTTATAATTATACATCTCCTGCTGGATGTTATTATGTCCTGTAAGTTTTACGTCCATATCTCTATGTGGTGTTGGCGCAACATATATTGTTAGAGCCCTCCTGTATGTACAATTGAACTCGGCCATTAGTTCTCGCAACTTCCTTTCTTTAAGATAAGCAGGGCAAGACCTAGCTAAAGCCATGTGAGCACCAGAGCAATTGATACATTTGAATGTTTTGGTATCACAATTCTCGTGTCCCCCCCCACACTTGGGGCAGATTGTTTTCTTGAATGGGCATAACTTGCGAATGTGACCCAACCTCCAACATTGTGAGCATTGTGTAACAGGATATACATAAGGCTGAACAATTATTTTCATATCGAAAATATATACGTATGAAGGTAGGGAAGACCCTTTGAAACAAAGCTGTATGGTTTCACTTGGACACCAACCTTCCTGTTTCGTGTTACTTCGTCGCTTAAGCCTTTTTACGGATATTAATTCTGTAGAATCTGAGCAAGATATATTTTTCATAATTTCTTCTTCAGATATTTCTAACTCCACGTCTCTTATAATTCCATAAGAGTAGTTAACCTCCATTGCCTTTTGAATTCTCCATCCCATAGAAATAAATGTCGCACAGGTACTTAATTTCTTAACGCTTTCCTCGTTCGGCAATTGCAACCTTACTTTAAAAGGATTTAAATATTTAACTCTAATTATATCAGTAATTCCGTTTTCTTTGAATAACCGTGCCAAAGCAAATTGCTTGGGCAGCTTTTCAATGCATGTAATATATACCTCGATATCCGTTTCTCTACGTAAGTTCTCATCCTCGAGCAGTCGTTTTTTCTTCCCCTTTCCCTTCACAATACTCCACTCCTCATCACTCTCCTCCGTTTCCCTGATTCTTTTTATAATCCTAGGCGTATTTATATCAATACTATCCCGCTCTTCCACTTCTAATTCTGTAATATCGTCTTGGTTATATATAATATTATTGTTAAATTCTTCATTTTCGTCCGTCATTTTCGTTTATACTCGCAAGTGCTACGGGTAAGCCTGCGCGGAAGCAGGCCGCGCGGCCCTACCTACACGTGTGAGTAAACAATGAACAGCAATCTATACGTAAACACTTAACAATGCGCGTGAACGCGTGCTACTCGCCTGACGTTAGACGCGAGACTGAAACAAATCTTGTAATGGGCTACAGTGTTTTCTAATATAAAATGTTTTCTAATAATTGTTCCTAATGGTAACTAGAAAATACAAAAATTGCTGTTGCGAACTCGGTTGCCAAACGTGACCACCATGTTAATAATCTCCTTATGAGGCAATTCATGGGGGGAGGGTTTTGTTCAGCAGTGGACGTTGATTTGTTGCAATGGAAATTGAAACAAATGTTAGACAAATTAATGTGAAGTCGGCAAAATACGCAAGTATGTGCGAGCACTGACCGCTGAGAAAGCCGAGGAAGAAGATGCGCACACGTGCTGTTTGTTTGATCACGGAGCCCTCAGCATCCTGTTCCACCACCAACTCGTCCACAGCAGTCAGCTGCACCTGCACACATCAACCTTATCATGATAACAATGTCCCCCACACCGGACGTAATAAACGCATAGTATAATGCGAGACTTTGTAATATTCTGTTAATAAATAAATCCCTTTTTATCAAATTTTTAGACCGTTTTCGACGATCCGATTACTATTAAATAAAATATATAAATATTGCTCCTGAAATAGAGGAGTAATTTGACATTTTGTACTGTTCAACTTATTGTAAAACATGCACACATAGTAAGTATTTTAAATCATTCGCTTTTTGTATATTATGTGTTTTTATGGGGACTTTTATAAGTTTTTTTTTTATAAAACTAAAGTAAGACAAACAAACTAACAGTCCACGTGATGGTAAGTAAGCAATCCACGGACACTTGCAGCCAACTTCACACTATGTAAGTTACCGACGCGTTGCGGCGTTGTTACTACTGCGGATTAAGATGGAATGCCCATTTACCACTGTTACAGTTTTAGGCAAATAAGAAACAAAGTTACAACACGTTGACAAATTGCGCACATAAATAATGACAGCGCTTTCGTAGTCACATTAAACAAAATCATTGTTAGATTGTCGAAAATAACTATAGCGCTTTACAAAACAGAGAATTAGTCTTCTCGCCCGTTCACAGTCGACCTATATATATAAAAGTACTCTGTGCAGTCGACTAAAGGAGTTATGGAGAGTTGAGTAGAGTTTTGAAGAAAAACATGTGCGTGCTCACTTCCTCCATCTTGTACGTGAGCGCGCGGTCGCGGTGCGCCGGCAGCCGGAACAGCGCCTCCTCCACGCAGCACGAGAACTGCTTCGCGTCCTCGTAGCTCAGCGAGCCCAGCTTGAACAGCTGCGACACCTGCACCGCACCACACACCGCCATCCACTCACTAGGTACTGTACGCTATATGCTATATGCTATGTGCTATACGCGTAGCATTAATCTAAGAATAGATAGATAGAAAAACTTTACAACGATATATGTATATCTTCAAATGTGTGTCTATTATATACATATATTTAAGTATATAATAATGTCCTCCAGAGTCCAGCCCGAATTTGGATCACGGCGGCGGGTCTCGACGCAGATTAACCTAGCCATAGAATTATTAAATAATTCTATGAACCTAGCTTTTTTATTTAAATAAAACTAATTTTATTTAAATAAAAAAGCTTTTTTACTTATTATAAGCCAGTGCTTGACCACAATCCCACCTGGTGGAAAGTCGAGATGAAGCCTTAGATTGTAACTGTACTTTTGATAGGCTGTTAGGATAAAGGTAAGATGTTATGCAACTCTAATAAAAATGTTTACGTTCTAAACGAATCTCTATTTTTATGAAATTCCATGTAGACCTAAAAAGCTAAAAAAAACATTTTGTATTGTTTTAATAAGCGAGAATTCTATAAAATACTAACTCTGACATATTACATATTTTTTATTTAAATAAAAAAAATTAAAAACTAAATTTATTTCAGACTTTTGATCCTCACACATTTTGGAGGGTTAGTAGAAAATATGAACTCACAAATTATGTTAGTAAACCAGAATAAAAACTACACTATGACATTAATGTAAATATTTTGACAGTGGTAGAGCCACGCGACAGCTTTTGCTGTCGCACGGATGGGCCGGCTCAAACCGGGGTGGTACCACGACCTCACAGCATACCAGCGTGAAGTAGAGGTTTACCTCTGCGTTTCGCTCGGTGAGTGCAGGTGGCTGGAGGCCCTTTTTTACTGGAAAAGAGGCATTCCACCTTAGTCCTCACGGGTGACAATGCATCTGCATTTTGATTCGCAAACGAGGATAGATGTAGATGTGTATGGGCCACAGCTACCACTTACCATCAGGTGGACTGTGTGCTCGTTTGTCACCCTATCCTATAAAAAAAAATTCCGGGCCAGTTTGTGACACCTGTTATACACGTATGTGTGTATACCCAGTGACTCATTACTGGTCAGTCTGGCTTATCAATGACCTTCAGAATAGTGTTGGAACTCCCTCCATAAATGACTTGAATTTGTTGAACTCTTTTAATTGCCGGGTTTCACAGACGCAGCGAGGATATGCGACGACATAATGTAATTAATTGTAGTGACGTCGAGCACTCGTCGGTGCAGAGATGAGCTGCTACTTATAAATTTTTAAATAATAATATTACTAACGTAGTATTTTAAGTTTAAAGTTTATTTATTTGACAGTTAACATTACATATCAGTGAGTGGTTTACAGTAAATTAGGGCAGTTACTAAACCAGTAAACATAAAAATAAGTTGAATGAATACACTTAGTTTTGTTTTTATACTTAGCTAGTTACGGTCAATCGTACAACTTACATAGTTGACTTGTGATGGGCTGGAATGATGTAACGATTATTTATAGTTTAGGTAAATACTGATATGCAATGTGAGGTGTGAAAATCATCCGATCAATCTGCGAGCCCAAAAATATATTTTACAGATATATATATATATATATATATATATATATATATATATCTCTATATATATAATAATCAATAAAAGCGCAGTGAACTCTTCCTTTGTTAATAGTTCTGCAGTGGGACATAAATAAGTTAGCGACAACTCAACTTTATTACAGTTAAATAGTTGCAGTTAAATTTACGTTACTTGCTAATATAATGGAATATATTAAACAGTGCACTGTGTCCAGGACAATCAGATATCAGGTAGGTGCATGTGCACGAGCACGTGTACACAAATTGTTGCAAAAACTCAAAACAATTGGCATAGTACAGCATTAGTGGCTTGCATTCATATAACAGTGCATACGTGCGCGTGAGTGTACGTATGCGTACGTATGGGTATGTGTATATGTAGTGTACCTGCGGCGCGTGCTCGACGGGCAGGCCGAGCTTGCGCAGGTCGCTGCCGAACTCCTTGACGCCCTGATAGTCGCCCTGGATCGCGTACGCCGCGAACTGCGACAGCTTGTTGGTGATGCGCTCCGCCTTCGTCACCTGCCCCGGTCTACGCACACCCCATATCGCTCATTCGTATCAACACTTCATACTGAGTCACCACAAGTCCCACCACGTGGTGGTGGCTGAGAGGACCAGTCACCCCATATCATGTTATAGTCGTAAAAGGCGACCATGAACGCTATATACGTGGTAGAACATATTGCAGTTATATTATGGTTGTAGCACGAATGAATTTACTCGACCGGGGTAGAACCACGCACTCATATGATACCAACGTAAAATAGTAGCTCAATGCTGCTGTGTTTCGTATGGTGAGTGTAGAGAACAGGAGACCCTGTTTACTGGATACAAGGTATTTCATCTTAATCCTCAGGAGTGATGCATTTAGATTCTTAATCGAAGATAGATGTAGTTGTCTATGGGCCAGAGCATCCACTTACCGCCAGGTGGTCTGTGTGCTCGTTTGTCACAACAAAGTGGAGTTATAATGAATGACATACCTGACTCCAGGCCGCTCCTTGTAGAAGACGTACTGCAACTTGACGGTGAATATCTTGCCGAACTGGTCGAACTGCTGGGCGCCGATGTCGGAAACCGAGTAGCAGGCCTGCAGTGGCAGCTCTTGTAGCGGCTCCTTGTCGTTGGCAGAGCCCAGCAGCTGCAGCACCGGCGTGTCTCCCTGGTACACCAGCCGCACGAACATCTTCTTCCAAAACCTACATCAGTTCGCTCATTAATCGCAAAATCACTCACCATTTACGAAGATATCGTATAGCATATAATTTTTAAAAAAATTAATAGAATCAGGCGTTACTTCGCAGAAATCCAATATATTATAGTTGGATAAATTTACTTTGCTAATATTCGCTTAATAAAATAAAATTATGTGTCGCACGTAGTTTGAAGAGCACCTTCCGCCCTCCTTCAATTTCGTGCACTATCCCCGTCACCACTAATCCCAGCACCACTACTCCCACCACCAGTACACTAGGAAAGACACACCACCGCTGATAATACGACACGTGTTTCGCCTCTACACGAGGCATCTAAAGAGATGCCTTGTGTAGAGGCAGACTTTTATTGAGCGGATATTGGCAAAGTAAATTTTCCCAACATTAATATAAAAGAAACATAAACTCGAATTGTAAACCTTTTTTTTGAAGTCAGTTGAAAAAATATGAAAAAAAAAATACATTTCTGATTCATGATTCTGTATGGAAACAAAATCCATCGATTTGCAATTGTAGATTTCGAGTTATTTGTATATACTTATTCGTTGTTGATGTTGAAAATGAAACGGTACAAGCAGTGCGTGTTGCCAGTGATGACCTATGGAACTGAGACGTGGTCCTTCACTGCTGGCCGTATGAGGAAGCTCAAGGTCGCTCAGCGAGCTATGGAGAGGGCTGTGCTCGGAGTTTCTCTGCGTGATAAACTTACAAATGAGGATATCCGCAGTAGAACCAGAGTGACCGACATAACCCAACGGATTAGTAAGCTGAAGTGGCAATGAGCCAGCCATATAGCTCGAAGAACCGACAACCAATGGGGAAAAAAGGTTCTCGTGTGGTGGCCTCGTACCCACTAAATGGAGTGACGACCTGGTAAGACATGCAGGAAGTCGATGGATGCAGGTGACTCAGGGCCGTGCTTTGTGGCATTCCTTGGGGGAAGCCTATGTTCAGCAGTGGACTTGTGAAGGGCTGTAGTGATGATGATGATGATGATTCGTTGTTGCGTGTTAAAGGTGGTAAGATAATTTATCTCCATATTCGTCCCGTGGTGTCGTAGGAGGCGACGATATAAAATGCCACGAAAATCTTAAGGTTATCAAAAATGGCGGTATAAACACCGCATTTACGCCAGACGTAAAATATCTTTTTAATAAAAAAGAGAATTCTATCGAGTTTAACGTTACTTATTTTTAATTACGGGAATTAAAAAACGCGGTAAAAGTAGTTTTATTCAATGCAGTCTTCGCGTAAATATAAGAAATCATTATATAAAACACCAGTCCGGTTGTCTGCTATTGCAATCGCCAATCTGCATGCCGAACGTGGTGAGTCTGACAACCCCCTTCCGTAATAGGAAAAGCCCGTGTCAACTCACAACTACATACACGACCCATGGACTTATAACAAAGTTTAAATAAAAGAGGCTAGTAAGCACAGGGTAGGTAACACTTTTAAATAATTCACAAGGTTTAATTCTCACTAACAATAACTAATTTTTCCCTCTTAATTCTTACTCTTCTTTCAAAGATTAATTTGTCAAATAAGAGATTCGGGCAATTTAAGATTTCGGCGGATGTGACAAAATGTGTGCATTACAAAACTGTAGCTATCGTAGAACTGATTTCAGAGTGTATTTTAGTTTATTTTTTAATTATTAGAATAGAATAGAATAGAATAGAATATTTTTTATTCAATATACATCACATGTGTAATTCTTATTGAAAGTCATTTTTTACTTTACCACTGGTTCGAAAAAAAACCTTCTGTCCTGGGAAGAACCAGCAAGAAACCCAGCGGGACTTTTTTTAAAAATAAATTTTACAATATAAATGATTACGAACTATTTACAAAATTTATTTTAGAAACTGCTTGGAAGCGACCACTTCATTCCCAGGGGTTATTATCAACCATATTACTTATTACCACCATATTATTAGTTAAATTTAATTCCATACATAAATAGTCAACGCTTGTCACCAAAATGGGTAGGCAGAGACTACGGACTTCCATTGGCAAGATCGGGAGTCGGGACTCACCTCTCTCGTACTCTTTCTCGTCTCTCTTTTATAAATACTTTCCTAAAAAAAATATACCACAATAACATAAGCGTACCACCTTTTATTAAGACAGTTTAAAGACAACATCAAAAAAAAAATTAAAAGTTAATACATTTCAATATAATATGTAAAACGAAAACACGCCATGTCGCACTAGTTCGCTTATGGCATACGGAGACGAAACAGCACATTGGATTGGACGGTAGCTTTGCTTGCGTACTGTCTACTGTCTATACCCTTACCTAGTAGGTATACAATATTGCAGGCCACTCTAGAAATATTGCATGGTAGTAAACACCACTTGAGTGGTCTAGAACTAAGAATGCTGACACAGTTTTGTAGTCGTTTGTGAATACAGTAGAGGTTCCCATCATCGGGACCACCGTCTGTCGAGACCTAACATCCGTCGCGTTCGGACATCCCTCGTTTTCCTCAATATTATTGTAATTTATAATCTAATAAACGGGATTCCATACCTTAATTTCGTTTTGAAAAAACATTCCTAAAATCCCGGTCTGTGAGTACCATACCTCTGTCCGGTGATCTTCTTCTTGTTGGGTTGTCGCAGGTGCATCTCCCAGCCGGGGCCGGTGTAGGTGGTGCGCGGGAACTCCTCCAGCGGCACCGAAGTGTCCTCGTCGAACAACGGTGTAGGGGGAGTCTCCCCACCACCACCGCTGCCAGACCGCCGCCGGCTCTCCTCTACAAATATAGTATATTCTAGGTAAGCTACGTTGCCCAATGACCGCCACGCATAGGTTTGCCAACCTAAGTGCAATTTGCGGGAAAATTTCAATCAAATTCGGGATGTGGCTAAAAAAAAGTGCGACAAAGCTGTAAAATGTTCATAGTGGCGAAAATTTTTATCAGAAATAATATGTTACTTTCATATTTCATATCAAAAATTTTAACGTTTTGTATTTTAATGTTTTACTGGAATCGAGGCATTTGATCTGAGTAATTAAGGGAGACAACGCATCTGCATTTTGATTCTTAATCGTGAACAGATGTAAATGTCGTTATCTATGTAGATGTCTATGGGTCACATCATCCACTTACCATCAAGTGGATTGTGTGCTCATTTGTCACCTTTATTATAAATAATAAAAGTTATGCGACGTTGCCCTATGACCGTCACGCACCTCAATGTAAGTGACAATACTATGGTTAAACTAATCTATTACGAGTAAGGTTTCTAGATTACGATAGTACTCGTACCTACGCGCATTACTTAGGGTACGTCAGGTTACATAAAAGACTACCTCTTGACTAAGGTAATGGTTAAAAATTACAAGCGCCGAATTATTTTTCAACCGACTTCAAAAAGGAGGAGGTTCTCAATTGTCGGAATCTATATTTTTATGTATGTTCACTGATTACTCGAATACGCCTGAACCTATTTGGAAAATTCTTTTTTTTTTTGTTTCAAAGGATATACTTTTCACGTGGTCCCATATAAATTTGATCAAGGTCTGACTCGTAGTTTTTGAGTTATTCTTAATAGTTTATATTGTTCGGTGGTTTGGTCATGTAGTAAGAATGAACGAGGTAAGAGTGACAAAGCAAATTTATGTTTCAGAAGTGAACGGCAGAGTCGGGAAGGGACGCCCTAGACGAAGATTTATGGACCATATCGGCGATACATTGAAAATGGGCCAGATTAGGAGTAAAGCCCTTAACCGACGAGCGTGCGATATATGGATGTAAAGGAGGCGAGAGAGGTGTGTCAGGATCGCACCAAATGGAAGTCCGTAGTCTCTGCCTACCCCTCTGGGTGACAGGCGTGAGTGTTTGTGTTGTGTGTTGTGTTTATATTGAAGTCGGCTGTACAAAATTTTTAATTGTACCACTTGTCACACAGCGTCCACTTTGGTCTCCGAATTGTTCGTTTTACCATTATTTAATGTGTGGTTGTACATCCTGCACTTTTGTAACATTGAGCTATGTCAATTTAATATAATGGAAATTTTTGAAAAGCAAATGACAAAAATATAATTATAATTAAAATATACTTATTATCATTACAACTATGTACTTATAAGTGGCTTAAGAGGTTCGCGAGATTAGGTAAGTCGTAAAGATCTGAGAAAGGAGACGTCAGTGGAGAATTCTAATTCCTTACTTTGCACGCCAAAAAAATTTCTTTTAAATCTCTTCGTGACAGTTTGTGAAACTTATGAACGATTTATGTGCCAAAAATATTTCCGTCTTGTAAATCGCTATCTGAATATATAAATACAATTAAAGAGCCATTGAGCCGAGGAGGTTATTTGCATGCCATTAAAACATAAATCACCATTTCTAAAATTTTTGTCTGTCTGTCTGTCTATCTGTCGGGGCTAAAATTCGGAATGACTAAACCGATTGTAATGAAAATTCACGAACGGATTATAAATTGATGTTTCCTTCATAAAAACAAAATTATTAAAATGTTTTTCTATCGTCTCTTTTGATTAATTCCTACCCCCAGTAGAATAACATTTCCATTATTAAAATAAAATGTTTATTGACATTCTCTTTCATTCAAATTACAAATGTCAAATTTTAGACAATAAATATACAACATTTAACAAAAACCCTATGAGATAACTTTACTTCAGAAAACTCGACCATATATTTTTACTAAATTTAAATAAATTTTGTAAATTGTATGTATGTTTATTACCTCTGCATTGACCGGGAAGTAAGAGTATTGTCAAAAACTCCGCTTCATCGGTGTGCGTATCAGTTATTTCAAATGTGAATAACAGTTACTGTCTTAAATGTCATGCCTATATGTATATATATAGCCCCAATAGTATCACTTTTTTTATACATACTCTATAATGTTACGTACCGAATTGGGGCTCTATCCTTTGCGGCGGCGTTTCAGCTTCACTTTTGTCGAAAGGATTGCTGCGCGGAGAGTCCAGCAGCACCTGGGGACGAGGCGGAGGGGCAAGCACCGGCACCGCTGACTCTTGCCCGCCCATGTCGTCTTTAGGCCTGCGATGACAGATGCAGAGTTATTTAACTGAATCAAAGTTAAATAAAAATAAAAATTATCTGTAATAAAAGCTACCTAATAAACACCGAGAAAGTATCGTCAGTGGAGTCACGAGATCCCTGGTGATCGAGGCGAGGTGTGGCCGCCGGTGGAGGCGGCGCTTCCATGTGCAGGAACGGATCAAACGCTTCCGCTTCGAAGCCTCCCGGAGCAGCATCCGAACTGCCGTCGTCACCCCAAACGTCTGAAATTTTACGCCGCATTGGTAAATTATGGATTTTAAAATTAATAACGCAAATAATATACATTTTATTATACCTGTAGTCTTGTTATTTGAGACTGTGGAGTCAAATTTAGCAGAAAATGCATCAAAAGCGTCTTCCGATGGCTCAACGGTGTCTTGTAACATTTTTTCAGTTGAACCCCAACCGAGATCCGTCGATGAAGGAGCTACTGCACTTTCGACAGTGTTATCGACATTTGTATTAAAAATATTGTCCTGTTTAGTTTCATTTGTCCCTGAAATATCTCCAAAAGCATTAACTTGTGAATTTTCCCAAGTTTCCTTAGGGTGGTCTTCTATGAAAGACTCAGACTCGTTTTGACCTTCGTTAAATAATTCATTAGTTGGTGCCATAAATGTATCTTCAACCTTTGTTGAAAATATATTCGTTGCAATATCAGCAAATGACGACATATCAGCGATTTCAGTACTTTCAAATGGGTTCTTATCAGGTTCATTTATCTGTTGAAATTGATCATCGATATGTTCTGCAAAAGGAGAAGTATCAGATTGAGTTGTAGTTACTTCCATCGGTTCCGAGCAATCCATGTGAGCGCAAGTGTCATCCATTACATTTGTAAACATCGACATATTGCTCGTTTCTTCCATAGTACTGGCAGTTGTTACTATATCTTCAAAGATAGACTTATTTTCGACAGTATGTGAAATTGTTGTTGTTGTCGTAATGATGTTTGTTATCTGTGGTTGCATTTCAGGACTTTTTTCAGAAGTAATAACATCAAGAATATCGTCACTGAGAAAATCTATCTGTTTTTCTTCTTTTTTCGGCGCGGAATACAAACTCAAGATATCTTCTTTGGTTGGTTTGGTCGTCACAGGTGCAGGTGCATCAAAAAGGTTAATGTCATCGGATGGTTGTGGCTGCCGCTGTGGTGATTGTTGCTTTGATTTGGGCACCTGTGGCGGTGCTTGCGGACGAGGTGGAGGTACGCTGGGTGGTGCTGGACGAGGGGGTCTGTTAGGTGGTGGGGGTGGCCGAGCGGGTTTATCTTTATTAAAGTTCTCTTCTGGTACCATCTCGTCGAGTAAGTCCGGCTCCGGAGTAGGGCTCGGTGAATGAATATCTCGGGCCGATACAGGGCTAGGTGTTCTCGTTGGTGGTATTCGATCAAGTAGATGTGTACTAGTAAATTCCATTTGACCAGTTACACTCAGGATTAAGTTTTGAGTTTCAGGAGGCAGTGGTCGTGCAGATGGCTCAAGATCGTTATTATCACCCATCACCGGACTGGCACAATCGACGATAGTGGAGACTAAATCTAATTCGGTAGGTTTTACTAGCTTTTCCGTGTCCATTGGTGGACTTGCAAACATATCTAGTGAATTATCTTCAAAATTCTTAGCACCCAACTCTTTAAGGTTTTCTCCCCCAAAAATATCAACAGGAACTGTATCACCTGCAGGAGGCTCATAATCATTTCCAAAGTCTGAAAACGGATTACTGGCTGCAAATGGATTATCCCCTTCGAACGTTGAAGCCTCGACGTCTGACATCATGAAAGGATTAAGTACATCTGCAGCTACTGGAGCCGTTGGCTCATTCATGCTTAAGAACGGATTGTATGCCATTTTGAAGAAGTTTAAGGAATCAGTTAAGGAACTCAGATTCAAGTAACTTTAATTCCGTTTTTCCTGGATTAAGAGCAGTGGCGAATGAAGTATCAAACGGATCGAAGTCCTCTTCGGGCTGTGTTAGATTTGCCGGTTCAGGAGTTAATGCCTTTACCTGAAAAATGTCGTCAGATGGTTCTAATAAGTCTGGATTACCTTCGGATTCGAAAGTAGCTTTAGAATCGTCAGAGACAAATTCCTTAGCCAACAGTTTCAATTCTGTTTTGCTTGGTTGAATATGCGCTGCAAAGGAAGTATCAAAAGGGTCTTCTTCTATTTCTTGAACGTTCTCTTCTATTAATTCTGGGCCTGAAGGTGTTAGTACTTTTGCTTTTATTTCAAAATTATCACTATTAAGGAGATCACCCCTTTTTAAATTTACTTTTATATTATACGATTGTGGATACTCTGAATGGCGTCTTTTCGTTTGATACGTTATATTAGTAGTCAAGTCCTCGTCAGATCGTGTTCGCGTTAGCACATCGGTAACTTTTTCATTAACTTCACTACTCTCGTTTATATCTTCAGTAATAGAAAGTTCCCTGCTGTAATATGGCGTTAATGGTTTGTTTGGCTTTGATTTAGGATCTAAATTACTAGATTCTTCACTATCGATATTGAAAACCACGCTTTTACTAAATGAAAGATTTTCTGGACGAGACGCTCTTCGCTCTGGCTGCTTCGGTTCGTCAGCTCGAGGATCAAAATCAGGATCACTCGGAACTCTATAAATCGTTGTCGATGTGGCACCAATCAGCTCTTGTTCAAGTAATTTTAACTCAACTTTTCCCGGAGCTACAACCCTATCGACAATAGTAGTATCAAAGGGGTCTATATCAGTATTGTTCACGTCCACTGGATCCAGAGGTGAATCCCCTAATTGCGTTAAGTCTGTAGTACTTCCTCCTAATAAATCACGAGGTATATTTTTTTCATCAATATCATGAATATCATCAGATGTAATTGATTCCCTTATTCCCAAAGGATTGGTCAAATGAATTCTTACCGATGATTTACGCCGATTGTTTAATTTGTCTTTGAATTCTTCTGCACGTGGATCAAAATCTTCGTCTTCTTCTAGAATAACCGCCTCTTGTTTAACTTGAACCGAATGCGAAGCAGGTATCACAGCTTCCGCAAAACTAGTGTCAAACGGATCGTCTTGATCTATATATGGATCTAACACATCAATTTGATCTTCGGCTATTCCTTCGGCAAATACGGACTCGTTTTTATCAGCTTCAAAGGCAGACCAGGATTCCTTTATAACAGGTTCAAGCTTAATTTCCTTTTCTTCTAGTTTTATTACTTCAGTTTTCGTTTCAAGTGATTCTGCAGCTAATAACGTGAACTCATCATCCTCTTCTTCTTCACTTTTTGTTTCTTTTGTGTTGGAATTTGTTAGCTCAAATATATTTTCTTGGCTACTCTTTTTATTTTGTTGTATTAATGATGTATGTAACGAAACACTGAGATCAATAGGAGTTGTTATAGGAATATCCGTGTCAGCATCTAAGATACTTGTCTCGACCGGTTCACTTTCGGTTAATTTTGCAACCACAGGCACTTCGGCATCAACACTTTCCAATAAAAGATCTCCAGGAATTATTCGCTTTGATTTTTTTGTAGTAACTGTTAAATTATCAATCCGACCAGTAAGAACTTCAACAGCTACCCCAATGTCTAAGGTCTTTTTACCTACTTTGCTTTTACTCTCTTGGCCTTTAATTAATGCATCAACATGTGATGTGTCAAATATTCCATCGTCTTGAAATTCTTCAGGTGAATCCGGAACATACGCTAGTTTTACTTCACCGCGTTCAACTGCATCTACGTAAGAGGTATCAAAGATGTCGTCTTGATCCTCAGTTTCAGATTCGTCATCAGTAAGTCCGTATTCACTTTTGTCGTCGTCCGCTTCTGTAGCGGTGACCTGACTCAAATGAGGGAAATCGGCTTCTGTTACTTCGACCACCGGTCTTGACGGAGCTTCCTTTACTTCCGGTTCAGGTTCTTTTGGTTGAACCCGTTGAAAAAATGATGTGGATTTGATACGATCTAAGTCACCTTGAGTTTTTTTAAGCACAGAATCTATTCCTGTTGTCAAATCCTTAAACTTAGACCATTCCTCATTTTCCTTTGCAGATCCTTCGCCACTTTCAGCTTGATGCTGTTGGTGTTCTCTTCTATACTTTTCTAATTCTTCCTCTGTGAAAAGCTCTTCCTCGCCTTTGCGCTTAGACTTCTTGCCTTTTTTCTTCTTTTTAAGGCCTTTGGGTAATTTTAGCATTATATGAGCTTATGAACTTTATTCTGTGTTGCTGTAACAGAGAGATAATTTTTATTAAAATATTTTACTTCAAAATAATTAAAAGCTCTTCTCTGCTTCTTAATAAATATGATTCATATTAAATTATAAAAACTATCCCCCTTATGAGGCAGTCTATAGGTTCCCTACAGACTGCCGGCAGACGGCTTGGCAACCGTAGTTTTTTTTTTATTTTCTAGTTATTATTAGAAAAACTTTGCTCTTCATCACCTAATTCGTTTCCCTCTGTCGCATCTTACGTCACCACTGGACGATATGAAATAGTGAATATTCTTACATGGACACTGCGCGGTCTGTACATCTCTCAATATTGAGATAAACTTAATATAATACAACGATTATAGAATTTCAAATGCTATTAATATTTTTTGATGATTTCATTTCAAATGCAGTTACAATGTTGATCTAATACCTGAATTGTCTATCACACTGGTAATTAATTTAACTCAACATATAGCGTCAATATACAAGATACTAAAAGAGACAGTGTCGCTCCGTCTAATCCATAAGCACCCGAAAACCATTTTTTTTCTTAGTGACCCAAATATTGACTTTCAGGGACTTGTAACTAGATTCCTGGCTGTGATAATAAAATGTACACTTTTCTTTGACGAGGTAGTGACTCTTCTTGTTCATTAACAATTTAATTTGTATATATCTACTTCATTTTATAAAACAACAAAAAAAATTAGTAGTGTTTAGTTAAATACGCTTGCAACCCTGTTTTCAACACCGGATATTTAGATCATCTGATTCAGTGAGCAACAAAGGGAAATGTAATTTGAATTGGAAGAAAATGAACATCATTGACAAGTATTGCGGCAATTATAATACATAAATCACAACGAGAATCATTCGAAACGTATCGTAACTTGCAATGAGTGCTAATAGGGGTGGTGATGGTAGAGTATTATATATTGCTTTACTCTTGTTATTATAGTGGCACAAAAATTTTAGTACTTTGTTAAGATGTTTTTACAATAGTCGCTAAATGTTTTAATTCGTTGAAAGGATTACACTTCACCTAAAACTATTTCATTCTGATAAGTTACGTATATTTGTGTAGGCATTGAAGTGACAGTGTGACGTCGTTGTTGTATCGATCGATCAGCTCATCTTATTTTTAAGTTTTCTTTTATAGGAACGATGCAATGTATACATATACAATTGAGTGTATGATTATTGAGTATATATAGTATTGAGGTATTATTATAATGCATACAAAGTATATGACGAATCGAATGTAGTATTTTTAGTGACATTGAGAAGACAGCACAGTAAGTTTGTACACGAATGAGACACAACAATAAGCTAACAGATGGAGGCGCAATGACTATGACGGATCGAAGTGAGCGAGAGAATAATGGACGAGGTGAGACGACGGTGAGTCGAAGATGAGTTGATGATGAGGCGGCGGCCGCGGACACAGCGAGCTACACGCACACGTACCGAGCCGACTGCAGCCGCTACCTACAGCTAAGTCATACGACTACCGCGCTACTAAGTCGTCTGTACCTTCATGGCAACACGCGAACAGTCGCGTAGAGTCACGGACAGTCGCGGACAGTCGCGGGGTCGGTGCGTAGCGAGCTGGTGGGTGCGCTCGGGGGCGCTGGCTGCTCGGCACTGAACGAGGACCGCTCGGTATTGACCGCTCCCGCTCTATATGCGCGCGCACCCACTCTTCAGCTCCCTCTACATCATATATTACTACTAAGCTATATAGCTGATATTGTACCTACATTCAATCGCCTCCCTAGTTTTCGCCCCCTTCGGTCTCTTGCCCTCGTTACGTAATCACGCCCGTTCCTTTTCCTCCCGTGTAATCGATTCTATTTCCTCAAAATACATTCAAACGTCAAATGCTTAAAATTACATATGACTGCATAGTTAAAAGGAAGAAGAAGAAGGAAACTGAAAAGTAATTTTGCATTTCTTTTGATATTCCATTATTAAAACTAAAATAATACTTCAATAGATGTTCAAAAAATTTAAGGTATTTTAAATATGAATTATTAACCTATTAATTATTAGCCATGCTGCAGCTATATTAATAGTATAGTTGTAGCACGAATGGGTGGCCTCGACCGGAGAAGGACCACGCTCTCACAGAATACCAGCGTAAAATAGCAGCATAACACTGCTTTGTTTCGTATGGTGAGTGTAGAGAACCGAATACCCTTTTTACTGGAAACGAGGCATTCCATCTTAGTCCTCACGGGTGATAACGCATCTGCATTTTGATTCTTAATCGAAGTGAGATGTAGATGTCTATGGGCCGCAGCAACCACTTACCATCAGATGGACTGTGTGCTCGTTTGTCACCCTTATACTTTAAAAAAAAACTACATGAACAAGCCATCTACCTCCTTTATTCAAACACTTGCTGGGTTTCTAATATCATCAACTTACCATTCGGTAGTAGTTGTAAGGGATTTTTGAAAGATCGTAGGTATTTCAAGATACCTCCACGTTTTGATGTCCTTAGAGTCCGATTAGTCTGTTATATTAGTGTAGTAGTAATAAGGCCTAGCTAAGGGAAAATCGAAAATAAAATCCGAAATATCTAATTGGGTCTACAGATTTTAATAAAAATCATTAGTTTAGTACAGTTTCTATAAAGTATGAACGAATCATTGTAACATTTGCCGTAAAGAAAAACAAAATTAAACATTTCTAAAAACCGTGCTAGTAGGCCTTATTTTACTATGGTAGGGTAATAAGGCGGACGAACTTAAGTAATCAATTTATACGTAATATATTTAATATTTGTGATCAATAATCACATTAATGCAGCAACTAAGACTTGAAATTATAAAAAAAATGTAAAATTTTAAGTCATTGCCTCGCCTAACAGTACTTAAAGTCATTAGATAATGATGAACAAAGTGATAAGCAAACTCACTCCTCGTAATTATCGTCAGTGCGTCGGTTGTGTATCGAGTTGAGTTGAATGTTAGGTTGAGTTGAGAATTGGGTTTATTGTTGGGTTGAGTGTACTGCCAACCAAATTTCTGTCACTGCGGCCAGTCTCAACGGAGACTAGCCCATCAGCACAGTATAGAATTATTGTATCCGAATGTATGCGCAAGCACAGGTGCACTCTCTACTCCCTCACAATCATCAAATCGCAATCCGACACGGTCCGAGAGAGCTTAAACGCAGGACCAATAATTTACGTATAATTTAATAGCTTCTAATGTCAAAGCCTTAATTCTTGGACACACTTTGTCTTTGCACTGTTTGGACAGTTGAAACCAGGCCTTTTTCTGACTACGACACTAGTTTAATAATAAAAGCGTACGATTTATTTGCATTTATAACATTTTAAATGTGATATAAATTTCATAATTAAACAAAAAAACTTCACAGAAAAGGAGTATAATAAGGCCCATGGTGCAATTTAGTGGGCTTTAATAACCGCCGACCAGAATATTCTTGAAAAGGTCAATGTCCAGTAATAAACTTTGAAGAGGCTGCATGTTTTGAGTTACTTACGCTATTTTATTTAAAAATACAAACAGTTTTGATATCATACTTATTTATCAGAAAAATAGGCTTTAAAAGGGGCCATTTTTTATGGGACAATGCCGTTAATCCTGGTCTGTGGATCAATAGTTTTGCATTGCTTAAAATTGGGTCAAACATATTTGTGACCAAAAACCTGAGCCACATCATTCAGTACAATGTCACAGGCTTATTCTACTACTTCGAATTTATTATTATCTAATATTAAGACGGAAATGACTTTAAATAAGTATTATTTACAATCTATTTTTTTTTCAATATAGATTGTAAATAATACTTATTGAAAGTCATTCATATGCTGGGCCGGAAAATATGTCTGTCCTGGGAAGAACCAGCAAAAACCCCAAAACATTATACAATCATATAGTATTATGTTACCTACACAATTAACTACATAGATAATATACTATAACTACACAAAACAAATAAGAAACAGCTTTTTAGCAATCACTTAGCGAATTATCCGTAAAATTTTTACACAATCTGTATTTATTAAAGTTTTTGAACGTAACGAAGGACAAATTTTGTATATTTTCTGGGATTTTCTTGTAAAAGCGTATCATCGCATATCATTCATCGCTCGAATGAATTGCTGACTCGGTGGAGTCGAGTAACTTGTACTCGTACTACTAGCTTGTGTCATTGTACCTCTTCCTAGTATTAACAGAGTGATAATTCCTTTTTTTTTAAACTACTTATATTTTCATGTACTATTAATTTATCGTATCGATATTTTTAAACAGTATCGATAATTATAGCGTGATAAATATTAATATACCGTCAAGTTTTACGTGATGTAGTAGAATGAGGGCCAACATTTTATTACTGTACGTTTTGCCGACGAAAAAAAAAACGCCAGCACATCAATGGTTTTGCTAATGTTTTGTCTATTAAATTATAAAATAAATATAACATTTTAAAATATATCGAAATTGATACGAATTCATTACTCTAAAATAAATTATATCGCGACTAAAAATATCGACGATTAATATCGATAATTAGTGAGAAAATATCGATATTTCGTTATATCGATATTTTTTACTCTAGCCTATTATGTACATACACTACATTTTCGTAAATGTGTTGAGAGGCCGAAGTTAATAAGTTATTTTCCTAATTTTTTGTCTTAGAGAATATTTAGATTTTGAATCATAGATTACTTTTTTATATGAGAGGGGGCAAACGAGCATGCGGCTCACCTGATGGTAAGTGACTATCGCCGCCCATGAACAACTGCAACACCGGCCCGGTGTCACCGGGGGCATTGCAGATGCGTTGCCAGCCATTTATGGCCATTTTCAGTGTCAGTCGCGAGTCCCCATAGCAAAATACTATACGAAATTTTGCTATGGAAAGAGCTAAAATACACTAGACTAGCTGTTTCAACGCTATAAACAACTATTTCGTCCAAATACAAAATACCGCATAAA